TCACTGTTTTTTTTGGTAAACTTTCATTCATTTTGGATATAATATTTGCAAAATATTTCTTGATATGGTTGAACATTTCTCCTGCCACCTTCTTTTGCAACAATCTATTCGTATTAACAAGTTTCACCAACAACATTTCATACTTCTCCAGCTGAACTAATACTTGATTATTGGCCCAAGGTGGCAAATGTAACTCATTTTCTATTATGGCAGATATGGAATCAGATATATTAGGCAAAATTTTTAAAAACTCCACTGAATCATTCAATGTATCACTCACAAATCCAAGCTGCTTAAGAGTCAACCTTAATAATGTGATATTTAAGAGTTCTTTCTGGTTATTTTCTACTTTTCCTTCAAATATCTTTTTCTGCTCATGTTGCCATTGATTCTCCCTTCTTATTTTATGGACATTTTTTCCAGATAATGTTGATGTTCTATTAATATATTTATGTCGGCTCAGTTGCATATTCCATAAATTTAGCTTGTCGTACAAAAACCTATTACTGATCACGATTCTTTTTAAACCTGTCATAAAGATGAGCACATTTTTAAAGTATGTTTTCATATTTATATCATCCTCCTCATGGACTCTCTGGCCATTGTCATTGCAAATCGCCCCATTAGATCTATTTAGAGGATGTGATAAAATATTTTCCAATCCTCTAATATCGGATTTATTTACTATTTCATACCCCAGACTAATCATATGATCCGATAGAACACCTAACAAAAAAGCTCCTAAGCTTTGTTTAGTTTCGTCTCTATCATCGCTGTAAAACTTTAATTGCAACAATTCGTTTAATATATCCGTTCCATTGAAATATCTGTTCACAATAAACTTACCCAAGTCGTAACTATCTTCATAACCTTTAGGTGATACTTCACCATACTTTTCATTGTGCGGCGTATAATTATAATTGGGTGGATTTAATTTTGTCCGTTCGTATTGAACACCATGTCTTGCTATCACTGCCACTGAAAGTAATTCTTTACGATTTTAAAAAAAATTATATAATTAATTTAAAGTAAATGGTTATATATGCGATAGATTTCAATAACGACGATGTCAAACCCAATTATATTATTGTAAGCTCATAAATAAAAACAAGTCATCTGTTGCAAAAAAAAGATCAAAATAGCTTCCACTCAGTGGCTTAGCTACTGGGGTGGTTTTCGGGTTTGGCCCCTCCCAGAGTAAAATTTTTTTTTTAGATTATACGTTCAAAAGACTTAAAAGTGACTTTATATTAAATAAATCCCATTAATATTTATATTTTTTTGGTTTTGATGTTTGTGGAAGATATTATACTACTATTGAAATTATTCTGGTATTATTATAAAGTCATTCAGAATAATCAACTAAATTATATGTATGGACCCCCTCTAAGGAAAATTCCTAGCTACGCCACTGCTTCCCCCCCCCCTTACTCTCTTATTGTTCATATTTTATATAAAATATATTTATAATTTACCTTCAGAGTTTTCCACATGATTTTTCTTTTGAGGCGACAATGAGAATGGTATGTTTAATTTTATTAGCAAAATTAAGATACAAAGTTGTGCGAACATGCTTCAAAATATTTATTTTCTTTTAAGATATATATATTATACTGACATTTTATATTTATATACTTATTTTATATTGCATTATATTTGTAACTCAAAATTAATTTTCTAAATTTTTTTTTGCGAAAAATTTGTTAATAATTTTTTTAAACCTTTTATGAAGTTATATTTGTTTTTTTTTAAAATACTTAAGCGTCTATAAAATTAATTAATATATATATAGTTATATCTTATAAACGAGTGTTTATTTGAATTTTAGGGTAAAAGGTTAAAGTACATTGTAAATTATAATAATAACAAACAATATTAAAAATTTATTACCTTCTGAATCACTAAAATCAAAGCCCCTTTTCCCCCATTACAAATCTTATCTAAATATTAGGCCACACTATTTTATATTTATAAAATATAAAATGCAACGCTGATAAATATGGCAGATTTTAAAAACCCGGAATCAATAAATGAATCAGGTTAGTAAATAGCCTTACATACTTGAGTATTTTGGGGGACATGTATAAGCCAATATTTTAAAATATAACTCTAGCCTAAACCCTTAAAATATGTATTTTGGGGTGAAATCAAACATAGAAAAAAAGTATATTTTTCTTTAAAAAAATTTAAAAATTTGTATAATTTAGCATTTTATATTTGGCGCAAACCTCTTATCAACCTTTTCATTTCATATTGTCTGCCCAAAGGCACACTTCACGTGTCTTGGCCTATATATTAAAATATAAATGATTATTCTTCGGTTGTTAACTAACACAAGATTTAAGTAGTACAATTAGGAATATAGTATCCGCCTTCATAGAGAATTAGTTTATACTTAAAAATTTAAAATATTGACCATGTGAATGATGCAATCGAGCAGGCTGGTATATGAAAGTAAAACTTACGTTTAATGCTCTGGTTGTGTTTTTTTTAAAAAAGAATCTAATTTTTTTTGGAGTAGGATATTCGAATAATATATTACCTTCCTAAGATTGATTTCGCAGGCCCAAAGACCAATTCATTAGTGATGCTCAAATTACCTATCTTTAGTTTAGGTTAAATATTTATATCTAAAGGCTCCGATACAAACCTAAAAGAGAAACTTTTTACTAGTAATCCCTTAAAGTTTAGAATAGAGAATTCAATGGATTTTAGAAGATTTAGAAACTAGCATTTAGGCATCTTTGAAGATGGGAGAAATAAAAGATAGTACTATTGCTTTTCAAACGTGAGATTGTCTAGATTGTTTTTGTGTGGAACAAGGTATTAATTTCTATTTCGAATATTTGAAATAGACGAGTTTATATTTGATAGGTAATAAGACATGTGATTTTCCTTGATATAATTAGACATATGGGCCTCCAGTAATTTTTGACCACGCCAACGGCCGCCGATGTAAAAATGCGGCGTGGTGGCGTGATACATATTTTTTTAATATTTGATATATTATTTATGAATTGTAAATGGAAGAAAAATAATATTAAATATTTTTTGAATTATTAAAAAATGCGATTTTATTTTTTAAAATTGATAAATATTATTTTCTATAAAAACATTTGATTTGATTTGTAACAATCCATATAATACACCTTCGCTCATTTTGGGCAGGTCTGTGACCAACGTGCTAGATAAGATTAGGCTAGTAATTTACAGAAAAGGTATTGAAATATTTTTATATATTTTATTTATTTAATTTTTGATGTTTCAAATATTTTGTAAGACCTTCAATTATTATATAAGAAGTAATACAATATTTTCTTAATGCAATCTACAACTCATCATATAAAATTTATTTTTTATCATAAATGAAAATTATAATTAATGATTTTATTTTATTGCCAATATAACATATATAAACATAAAAGGACTAAAACAATTATAATGGATCCAGCATTGTAATACCCTATAACAAAATACAGTATATCCTTGCAAGCAAAACATTTTATTGCATGGAAACATTTTGGATCCTTCATATTAAAAACTGACAGTAGAAATAAGAAAACCAGGTGTAGCTGCAGATAAAATATTTTGTAATATAGCTTGAAAATAGCACTTGATAAAAGTGGTGAAGTGAAAAATAATTATTAATTTTTAGAGTATATTTTTTTGATTATTTTTAAAATATTTGTGAATTTTTTAATTAGTTATCCAATCAAATCTTCTTAAAAAATATTAGCACATCAAACATAATAAAACATTTAATTTATAAACATGATTCATGTAAAGAAAATATTTAAGCAAAATTTGAAATTATTTTTCAAACACATTGTAAAAGATACAACTGACCTTATAAAAGATAAAAAAATGGATTCTGGTAAAGAATTATGTTCTCATGTGTTGCAAGGATTTAATGCCATTCTCTTCTAATTATAATTTTTTATAGGGCAATCTTAATTTTTATTTTAACTGTTAAAATATATAATTATTTTATGATAGAATATTAAAATAAAACTGATCTCATCTCACATTTAAAATTTTTTAAAGCATAATGTTTTTTATTATTAACTTTTTATTATATAGAAATATGGCATTATTTTAAATACAAAAGATTTACTAGATGGAACAACACTTAGCAGGAGTGGATTAGTGGTTTAGTGAAAGCATAAATATGTCAACAAATTAATATAGGTACAAAATTTTGTGCTATAACTTTTGATATGTGGGCCGACAAATATAGACGGCGAAATTATATTACCTTTACATCACGAAATAGATAATAATTTTAATATTGCATTTTATGCCAAAAACATACCGGCTGATACTATTCTTTCCGAGATAGAAAAAGTTGAAATGAAAATGATTTAGGGTTCAAGAAACATGGTTACGGATGCAGGACCCAGTGTAAAAAAAAATGTTCTTCTAGGAGAATAGGTCTATCATTTATGTTTGGGGCATGGAATATATATTCTAGTGACAGACGTTGGAATAAAAAAAGTTAATAAAATAGAAATTCTCATTAAAAAAATGAGAGATAGTTGCCTTAAGATTCAAAAGATAGGATTTTGAAAATATAAATGATATGGAAAATAGGAAGTGTTTTGAATTTATATCATTTGCATCGGATATTTTATATTTGAATAATAATAATTCTTTTTATGAAGATCGTTTGGGGTTTGATGATAATAGTGCAAATCAAAAATCATATGAGAAAAAAACATAAAACCTTAAAATTAAATGTGCCTACACGTTGGCTTAGTAATTTAATAATGTTGGAAAGTGTGAGTGACAATAATAAAAGTCCTATAAATATTATTAAATAGAATGTGGAAGCCGAATCTCAAATTATTTAACTCCGATTGGGACTTGGTGCATGAACTTTTAAATTTTTTTAAAATATCAAAAAAACTGTTGAATTTTTATGCGTCCAAAGAGTAGTTATTATAAATTTATCCTTATTATATTGTATTGAAATTTAAAAATCATTTAATTGTAAAAGAATATGATAATTCCCCATAGCATCCCAACAAAATATGCTTACTAAATTTGGTCATAGATTTCCAATAACCGATCTTCAGGTAGTATTTTAAAATACATAAATTAGTTTTTTATATTATTTCTCTTTGTTTTATTTTTTTTACTTAGGTGTTAGGAGCACTTTTGGATCTCGTTTTCAATCTATAAACATAGTAAATGAATATTTAAAGGAGAAAAATATTACTCCGGTGCAATTTTATGTCAACAAGCTACCTCTGTGTTGCCTTAAACGGACGAATTAACCGAATGTGAAACGAAGGTAGTTGCTTCTAATTCGATTATCTTAAGTCATTAGACTATTTAACTAGTCTAGAAAAAAATTGTTATTTATTATTTTCGTCTTATAATTTAGATATAAAAAATGTCTTCGATTTTTGGAAGATAAGGGCATTGGATTTTCTTAAACTTTTAATATTAGCTAGAAAGGTCCTGTGCGTTCCAGCTACGAGCACATCCAGCGAGTGTGTATTTTCCATAACTGTGCTCACTCTGAACGCTAAAATATTATTATTATGTCCTATAAATATCAATAAAATAATATTTATACATGATAATTATAACTTAATAAAATCATTAAATTATAGTTATAAAAATAATAAAGCATAAATTTTATTTTAAAAGTGTTTCCAATGAATTTATAATTTTATTTGAAAATTTTAAATTAGATAAATATTTGATGCCGGCGCGCCATCCTACACGTTTTAAAAAAGAAACGCCACCAGTCGGTCCGCATGTCTAGACACAGTTAAAACTATTGAGACTGTGAGTTTCGGAGCTTTCATATGATCATATGTTGTTTTAGAGGGGGAACAAAGTTTATACAGAATATTTGAAGTAATTTAGATATTGTGATGTCTTCAATTTATTTCTATAAAACTTTAAAGTGCCAAATAAATGCAGCTTTAATGTAATAAATTATTTATTTATTACATCAATATTTCTCATTAAAAAATTACTAATTTGCTAATTGCAAATAATTTCATATTTTAAAAATAATTATAAATAAATGTTATCTTTTAAATTTAATTCTCTGTCAAAATTTGAGAATCTTATAAACCTATGTTCTTTTAAATTTAATCCAACATCATATGCACAAAATGTATGGCGAACTCTAAGAGAAGTCATTAATTAAACTGCATATTCAGCTGAAGGCAAACATCTATGACATGCATCTGTCAATTCAATTATTAGCCGTAATCTTAAAATGTCACGTATACCTAACCTTTTAGTAAGGCAAATTTACCCTTAAAAGATATCTTGAAAGGAGTTAGCTAAAGTGTGGTAGGAGCTTATGGTTAATCAAAATTTAAAATCTCATTTGAATCTCGTGGTTCCATAATATATCTTTTAAATCTGAGGGGAATATGATGCCTAGTCTATATTGTTGGGAGAAAGATTAAGTCCAAGATGTTTATCCAAACTTAAGGTTGTGAATTTCGCCAGTAAATGGCTTGATTCCAGTATATTATTTAAAAACTGAGACAGTCATGAGATTAATAATGCAAGGTATATTTTTAAAAATCAAAAGGAAACATGCAAGGTGCAAACACATCCAGCCGGGTATTCTATGTGTAAATTTAGTTCGTCTTGATTAATGAGCTTAAAAAATGTGTATTAGGTTCGTAAAAGTTTAGATAGGAGATTTCTGATTTCCGGCTAAAAATGAGATCTAAGGATTAATCGATCTAAAGGATCATTTCAATTATTTTATAGATCTTATTGGATGTTTCACTAAATATTTAGATTGTTGTTTTTTTCTTTTCTTATTGATAAGTTCGTCTTCGTGTGTAATTAAATAATAATATGTATTTTAATATAATATATTGTATTATATAAAATTATATTAATAATATATTTTCATATTCAGCATTTTTAATTTAAAAAAAAAGAAGTTCAAGTTCAATTAATAAGATAGTAATATTATTAGTTGAAAAATGTATTTTTTTTAACTAATATATTTAAAATAATTTTATAGTAAAATAAACCTAAAAATACGAATTCTTATTTCCCTGAAATAACTCAAGAGTTGAATAAATCTGCTGGCCATGTTGAAAAAAATTTATTTATTAATAATATACCAAATATTCAAAAAGAGCATAGGTTTTTTAAAGATTTATTATACATTATACTAAGGATGAATTATATACAAAATTCTTTAGTGCTTCGTTAGGAGAGGTTAGTACTTCAATCACCTTTGTAACCGAATTTAAGAATAAAAAGTTATTTGCGAAAAAAACAAAAATAAACAAATTATGGCGACGTGCCAGAATAAAAACTATAAAAGCATCATATTATGACCTCACGATTTAGGCGTAAAGGGCCGAACGATTGGAAGCACTAACGATAAAACTTATATCATTCTTTAGTGTTTCGTTAGTAGAGGTTAGAGCTTCAATCACCTTTATAGCCGAATTTAAGAATAAAAAGTTATATGCGAAAAAATCAAAAATAAACAAATAATGGCGGCTAATTAAAACAAAATATAGTAGTATTTAACATCCGGTTTTCGCCATAATTTTACTCAAATAGTAAATTTGAATTCCGTAATTAATTTGGTTATCCGTCATATGAAAAAATTGTAATAAGCTAAAGAAATGTTTAGAGGCCAAATTTTGGCCAGAAAATTATGAAAGTACTAACGGTGGAATTTATATCATTCTTTAGGGCTTCCGTAGTAGAGGTTAGTGCTTCAATCACTTTTGTAGCCAAACATAAGAATAATACTATTTGCGAAGAAATAAAATAAACAATAAATGGCGGTCAACTAATAAAAACTATAATACTACTCTCCTGTTTTCCCCAATATTTAGTGCTTAATTTGTAAATTAAAATTCCGTAGTTAATTTGGTTAACCGCTATATGAAAAAAATTGTTATACTCTGTGATAAATATTTGAAAGTCAAATTTTGGCCAAAAAATTATGAAAGCACTAACGAAGAAACTTATAGAATTCTTTAGGGATTTCTTAGTTGAGTTTAGTGCTCTAATCAGTTAACTTGCCGATATTTAAATATAAAAATTATTAACAAAATAAACAAAAATATGGCGGCTCACTAGCAGCGACAAACATGTTTATCATTATTTATGATCAATTAGTAACATTTAAATTCCGCGATTAGTTTGGTTAAACACCCTATAAAAATTAGCAAGTAATCAAAAAATGCATATTATCTTTTACCCCTTATAGTCGGTTACCATAAAATATTTTAGAAGATTGGCAAAATATACCTTTTTGGATTTTTATTTTATCCGAAAAAATCATGCATTTAAATTTTTCTATCATAATGTTTTAGTTATTCATACATCACATTTTTATAATTATGCAGGAATACAACGATTCTGATAGTTACCCCGATTCAGTATGTATAAAAGTTTGAATTAACCACAAAATTTCCCATATGTAATTAATAAATCAATTATATATTTCATAATATTATTTTAATATGTCATTATAGAAAAAATAAAATCATATTTTTTTAAAAAAATTTGTGTTATATTCTAATTCTATCTTATCTCTATTTAGAAATTCCTATCTGTTATGTTTTATTTTGTTGTGTTTTAATTTTTATATATCGCTGTCTAAGGCGATATTTTTATATTTGTATTTTTGTTCAATTGTGACTTGGACATTAGATTATGTTCATTTTTGAGTTTAAATAGAACAAGGAAATTAATTTCTTTTACATATATATATATGATATTTTTTGCATGGAATACTCCGGTGGGATATCTGTTAATTTGATACTTCGGTGTGAGATCAAGATACAATGGCCTCGATTTCTATACTCTGGTGGGAGATCCAAATGAAATCGATAAGAATACTCTGGTGGGATATCTATAAATTAGATAAAAAGTAATAGCATGAGTAAGAGAGATATTGAAAGCTTATCACCAGAAAAAGGTTGAAAGCTAAAAAGAAAAAAACAGAAATTTTTCACACATAGATATTATCATAAAATTTCTTGAATAAAATTATTTGAATTAAATAATTAACATCCTTAAACCCGATTGCAACTTACCCCCGAGTAGTGCAACACTATCTTGACCTTATTTATAATTTTAATTCTGCTACATAAATAAAACTATGTAAAGGGAAACTATTTGAATTATAATAAAAAAAATCAGATAATGTTTTTAATTATATCATTCAATGACACCTTAGAATAATAGATGTTGGAGAAAGAAAATGGAGTTGTTACCAATAAAATAATAAAAACCGATAAAAATTATATAAATAAACACTTATAAAGAATATGGCTCAATGGACCCATTTAGGCAATAGTTGAAATAATCTTTTGTGACTATGTTATAGCTATTCATCGATTTTGGTCACCTTAATATATATATATAAGCTTCTGAAACATTTTATTACTCAAATATGGTAGATGATCTTCAAAAACAATTGATAGGCTAAAGTGCAGAAGGACAATGCATCCTGTGACATTTTATAGGGTTTTTAACCAAACTAATTAAGAAATTTAAATTTTGCTAATTAAGCACTAAATAATTGTAAAAATAAGATTTGTCGTTGATATATTTTTTGTTTATTTTGTTAATAACTTTTTTATTTTAAATTCGGCTATTAAACGGATTGAAGCACTAACCTTTACTAACTAAGCACTAAGTCTCATCGTTAGTGCTTCCAATCGTTCGGCCAACCTCACTCCTAAATCGTAATGTCATAACTTTTATAGTTTATAACCTTTTTTTCTATAAAGAGTTTAATCAAATTACTTGCAAAATTTTAAATTATTTAAGTACAAATGGCTCAAACCGGATGTTCATTACTGTTTTAGTTATTATTTGCTTATTTTTAATTATTTCGCAAATAATTATTCTTTTCGGTTACAAAAGTGATCGAAGCACTAACCTCTACTAACGAAGCAGTAAAGAACGATATATATCTCATTGTCAGTGCTTTCAATTATTCTTGCTATTTTTTAAATTAATTTTCATTTCTTAATATTCTTGATTGTCATTTTATTTGAAAAAATATATTTAAATAAATATATTAAATAAAAATTGACAAATTAGACTATAAAGATTTTTTTATTGTGAATTTTTGATATAATAATGATTAAAAATTTAAAAAATAACAGTTATATAAGCTTTGGAGGGAAATGATTAAATCATCTGCTTTAATTTTTTGATATATAATTTCATTTATCAAATTTTTCTTTACCCACTAAAACCTCCATTTAAAATATGTTGGAATTTATATTAACCAAAGTAAATAACAATGTTGAAACTAAATATCTCCACAGAGAATAGATTTTATAAACATTTTTAAATTTTAAAGTGAAATAACCTATTAAATATAGGATTGAAATATGTAAAACCAAACAATTAACGTAGTTACAACTCGTCTAACGTCGCGTCCCTTCTCAAGGGAGTTAAGTCGCTAGACCCAGCCTTGTAAAAAAGTCTTAATTTGTAATTAATGTTTTTTGGGTTGTGACACAACATAATTTTTGGAAAACTTGAATTGTGTGGTAAAGTGTTCATTGGTGATATATCCGAAATAGAGTAGTTCGAAACAGACACGCGGTATAATTCTAATATTATAGCCGATGATCCCTTTGGCTTAGCCATACAAGTTACATTCAATAAATTCATCAATCCCACCAAATTATAATCATGAGCTATATATATGCTCACAGTTTTTTTTGGTAGAGTTTCATTCATTTTGGATATAATATTTGTAAAATATTTTTTAACATGGTTGAACATCTCTCCAGCCACCTTCTTTTGCAACAATCTGTTCGTATTAAAAAGTTTCATCAGAAACATTTCATACTTCTCCA